GGAGGGTATGGTGGCTGGGACTGATTGTGGAAACCAGGCCACCCTCCAGCTATTCACAGACCAATCGCTAAGGGGCTGTCCATAAAACGCGGGAAAAAATGTAGTAATGGCTCTGCTGGGCCCTGCTGCAGCAGACGGCCCCGTCATTTGGAGAGGGGAGGGCATGAACAGGGCTGTGTAGATAGTGTAGCCGGCAGTGGTGTAGATTGGTGGGCCAGCCAGTCTGGGTTTGCTCCCGAGGGGGGGGGGGTTAATGAGCTGGTAGGGCCCCCTGCCAGTGTTCCCTGACTCCCCACTGTGAGGACACGGCGGCTGCAGTGGCTCGTGCGCACTGCATTGTCGCACCTCTCACCTTCGGCTGTTTTTGGCCTCCTGGAGTCCTCCAGAGCCATCTGTGTCATCCCGGACCCGGGAATCGCTGCGCTGGCCATCCGGCTTCCCGAGGCCTCGGGAGCCCTGTCTGGATTTCACTCCAGCTCGCAGCGGCAGCCTCTGATGTTTCCTCCCCTTTGTCCGAGGCCTCGGACGGGTAAGGCTTGCCCAGGGAGTGATCTCTTTTGTTTACAGCTCCTGGAGCCTTCTTAGACGCCTTGGAATCCATGCTATTAGCACCTCAAAAGGTCAGTGTTTAGATATGCTGAATAGATAGCAGCTGCTGATCTGGTGAGTGGAGCTAGGCTCTAACGACCTCCTGAAGCGGCAGGGCTATCGAAACTGGAAGGGCGCCCTCGCTCTATCCAAGTAGGCATACACAAAAATTTGCATAGCTCTGCCTGAAGCGAGAGGAGGCGTGACCTAACCAGTCTGGATGCCTTCCCCCACTGAAGGAGAAGTAGATAGTTCAGGATAAAAAAGGAAGGAAAAATCTGTAATGAAGAACTCTGTGAAAGGTAGAGCCTAAACTTTCACTGCTGCTCCCTATGAGGCAGGAATAGAACTGAGGGGCTGGGCTATTCCCAAGGCGCCAACAGGAAGGAGAAAAAAGTGTTTCCTGCCTCCCTAAGGAATGATGGGAATAACCCATGGAGATGTCCTCCGCCTCAGTGGGAGAAGCATTGCGGGAAGCCACTGGAGGGAGGGGAGGAAGGGAATGAGGTAAACAATGGACTGAATGATTTAATCTTATATGTTATGTTCCTAAGAAAATAAAAATTTGTTTACCAAAAAAAAAAAGATGACCTGAAAGGAAAGCACCACTTTTCCCACTGCAAAATAAAGCAGGAGTCCAGTGGCATCTTAACGGCTAACAAAATGTATTTCGGCACAAGTGTTCGTGAGGTGGGATACACCCATTTTGTTAGTCTCTAAGGTGCCACTGGATTCGTTTTTCATTTTGCCCCTGCAAAAGGCCACGGCTACCCAATCTGGAATTACCTTTTTGCCGTGCATACCCCCCAGAGGCCGGTTAAAGAAGACACCACTTGCTGATATGGAGCATGCGCCCCAGGGGTAGGCCAGGCGGTCCTCAGGCGCCAGTTTTTGCAAGCCTCTTCCCTTCTAAAGTAACCCCGTCGCCCCCCTCCTTTCCCCGTCTCCTGGCACCTTGACTGATTGATCCATGCTCGGAAGCAAACGCTACTCGGCGCACTGACCCACGACTAAGTGCCACTGAACTTAGTGGGGTTCCCTCCTCGAGAGAGAGAGAGACACATTCTTACTCAACACAAACCCTGGCTCCGGAAGCCACACGTTATTATAATTTTTTGGGGCAATGCATGTGCTTTTTTGCCTAAACATTCCCGTTTATCAAGGGTAAGGTGACAGGACGACGCGGACTCCTTTACTTGCTCCGTTCGGCCGCATACAGAAGCCAGTGCAGCGGCGGTTGCTGCTGCTGCTTCCAGCCTCTGCCCCTTCAGTGCGCTCCCTCCCCGGCCGTCGCCGGCTGGCTGGCTGGCAGGCAGGCAGGATGAGAGAGAGGGAGGGAAGCCGCAGATGAGGGTTAAAGGTGCCGCCGGCAGGGAACTTTGAAGAAGGTTGCCGCTTGGGCGCTCCAGCAGCAGTAGCATCATGGCGGAGCAGAACGACTCGCCCGTCCATGTCCAGCAGCAGCAGCAGCCGTCGCCGCCGCCCCAACAGCAGCAGCAGCAGCAGCAACCGCCGCCACCGCAGCAACAACAGGCGTCGCCGCCACCCCAGCAGGAGCAGCAGCAGCAGCAGCCCACGCCGGCCCCGGCTCCTCCTGCACCCGCCGCCCAGGCTGTCGGCTGGCCCATTTGCAGGGACACCTATGAACTGCAGGAGGTGATCGGTCAGTGGCGGAATGGGAGCGGCTCTTGGGTGGGTGGGAGGCAGGCAAGCAGGCAGGCAGGCGCGGATGGGGAGCGGGAGAGAGGAGGAGGAGGGATGCATCGTCAGCCGGCTTTGGGGCCTACCGGCGTGCTGTGTGTTTCTCAAGCCCGGAGGCTCTCATTGCGGCGGATGCGCCCGGCACTGCAGTGCCCGATGCTGCAAACTTGAGTTCCTCCTCCTCCTCCTCCTCTTCTCACCAGCGGCGGCCGCTTCTCTTTGCCTCTCTCTGTCTCGAGCACTTTTGCGTCCTCTGTTGCAGTTCGACAGAGGAAGGTGGATGGAGGCGGGGCGGCGGCTTGGGGGTCTGCAGCCAGCTCTTCGCCTGCTTGCCCCTTGAGGGATGCTACATCAGCACCCAAGCCCCTTCCCCAGAGTTTCCACTTAAAGTATTGGGGCGTGGAACCAAAGAGCCTCCAAGTTGCCGCGGCACTTCTTCTGGGTCTTTCTGAAGTCCTGCCTTCTCCAACTCACACTCTTTTCTCTGTGCTCTTCTCCTCACCCTACAGTGGCAAAATGTCAGGAGCCAGTTGCCTTCTCCTTGTACTCTCTCTAAACAGTGGCTTGCTCATCACCCCAGACCATAGATCCCTTTTAGATTAGTTTTACAATCTCCAGGAAATCTCGCAACATCACAGTTCTGCTATGGATTTAGTCTCTTCCCTAACCTCCACATTTTTTAAATCTCTGCCCTGCCCCTTTACTTTAATTTATATGCTGTCAATTGTCAAAGTAGCCTTCGGGTGGCATCCTGTTAACCTGATAGCTTACTAAAAACAAAAACAAAAAACCTTGTTGTAATTCACATCTCTCCCCTGCACCCCACAGTTTAATGTAGGGCCACTGATGTGGTCTACTGAATTAATGAATGGTGAAGTGATGTGGGCAGAATACAAGGGGCCTAAATACTTGTTTTGCCTGTGTTGTTCTGAGGTGATAAAAGTAGCACTTAATGATAAACACAATAGGAGGGAATCGCCCAGTTACTGCTCCGTGTCCTGTGCAAATTAGTTGGGAAACTAGTTTGTACATAACCTGGCTAAAAAAAACCCTACAGATGTAGCAGAAATTTGAGGCGATGATTAGCTAGGCCTCATCCAGCAGCAGCCACTCCAGCTGGGTAGCATCGCCTCAGGTTCATCTTGCAGTTGTTTTAATATTGATGGCCTCCAGCTGCTGAAAGTCTGAGAAGGGCGTAATGAAAACAAGAGCTGGCTTTTCTCTGTGTTTCTTTGACCTAGGCAAAGATGTATTTTCCTAACGGAGATAACACTGAATATCTATAACTTGTCCTTTTTTTAAAAAGTTAATGATTCTTGTGTTGCTGGTTTTTTTACGATTTTATCTCATTCTTATTCTCTGTCTGCCTTCCCACAGTGACACTCAGATATCTGAAGAATGCTGTGGAAGGCATCTAAATGAGCCTGTTTTCTGCTCTGAGAGGAATCTGTAACAGATTTCTTCCTTGAACGGAGGGTGTTCTTCAGATGAGTTTATGTACTGGCAGCCACTGGAGCATTATCAAGAGAGAACAGGAGCAGAACACCTTGTGAAACTGTTTGTCAGTGTTCTTTTCTTTTAAAATGTCTGATTAACAGAATAAGTTGTTCAGAGACACCGATACAGAAACATACGTCCTGAACATGAAAAGAGAGAATTCACAGGGATGCTAAGAAAATATCTTTTATTAGCACCAGTCACTGTTCAGAATGTGGTATACAAGCTTCCAAGTTAAACACAACTTTTCCTGAGGCTGGATGTTAAAAATAAAAAAAGGAGAGCGGGAAATGTATTTCTGAGTGAGGGCATGAAATAATTCCTTGTTTTAGTCTAAAAATGGTCATGGAGAAAGCCATTGCAGAGTAACCAGGTTAGACCTTCACCTTGCACAGAAGCTGTCGAGTTACTACAAGGCATGCTGGGAGACAGAAGCAAATGGAAGATTTGCTTTTGGAAGTAACCAAGATAGCTGTGTGTTGGTCTCTAGTACCAGTTGGAACCTACATATCTCTTGTAAAGTGGAGAAGATAGGCTGTGTGGTAGAAATCAACAAACCTTTTTACATTTGTCCTAGTGTAACTTGAACAGCTTGATACTATACTGCTGCAAAGACTCAGTCCCTGCCTTATTTTCTCATTGAGGATGATGATCTATCCAAAATTCTTATATACCAGCTGGCCAACACAGAGATAGCTAAGACTGAAAGTAAGCGTTATGGAACACAGACTTATTCATGTACAAGATTGGGCTGTGTGTTCTGTTGATATGAATGGGTTGCTGTGGAGTAACTTTAAATGGCTGAATTAAAGTCAACAGAAATGCTGATTTAATTGAAGCTTCTTAAGAATTATGAGATGGGGTGGGATTAAGTCCCATTGAATAACCTGGGGCTTACTTCTGAGTAGTTCTGTCTGGGATTGCGCCCTAGGTTTCCTGATGACCATTCCAGACGGCTAGTTGTGTTGGTCTTTAGGAGCAAAATAAAACAGGAGGTCAGCGGCACATTAAAGGAGGGCAAAATTTATTCCGGCATGAGCTTTGGTGAATCGGAGCTCACTTGATCAGATTCACTGATCTCCTGATGTGTACTGTAAGGTTAAAAAGTAATATGTGTCCCCCATGTTGGGGTGGGGGGGGCAGCACTGGGAGGGTAGCATGTGGCTGGAATGTAACCCTTTCCCCTTCTGCTGTTTTCTGTTTGAGAGCTAGTGTGATGTTGTGGTGAAGTCACATAGGGACTGGACAATTCTGGCTTCAGATCCACATTTCTGATGCAAACACAGCATGGCTTTCAGGCAGCCCCTCTCTTTTTCAGCCTAACCTATCCCATGGGGTTATTAGTGTATAAAAACAGGAGGACAGACCAGCCTCTTGAAGGATAGCGAACGAATAGAACCCTTCACCCGTGCTACTATTGTGTGTGTTAAGTGCTGTCAGGTCGCTTCTGGCGACCCTATGAGTTAGTGACCTCCAAAATGTCATATTGTTAACAGCCTTGCCCAAGTCTTGCCAACTCAGGGTCTCATGGGTTCTTTGGTTCTGTCCATCCCATGTTGGGTCTTCCTCTTTTCCTGCTGCTTTCAACTTTTCCTAGCATTATTGTCTTTCCCAGCGATTGTCATATTCTGCTCATGTGACCAAAGTCCGATCGCCTCAGTTTAGTCATTTTAACTTGATTTGATATAAAACCCTCTCATTTGTCTTTTTGCGGTCCCCAGCATCCATAAAACTCTCCTCCAACATTGCATTTCAGATGAATCAATTTACTTCCTGTCAGCTTTCTTCGTTGTGCCGCTAATAGCAAGGAAGAAAGACAAATATTATAGAAGTACCCTTGTTTCCCTTTTTCTGGTTAGTAGTATTTTAGTGTAGTTTATGGGGGAAATGGCAGTGCCCCAGCCCAGATTGGTGGGGGGTGTCCTGTAGCTCTATCCAGCGAAATATATCCAATGCCTTATTTAATTGGGCCTCCGTTTTCCAATTCATTCATTTCTTGGATAGGTGTACATCTTAATTGTTCCCTCTAAGCTTTGGAGTCTTGTGAGCAAAAATTCTGCTTTGTAAGCTACTGGCATTAAAATTGTGAGTGAGCGATTTGGCAACTGCATGAATTCGTTTTCTCTGGAGCCATCCTTCCTGAGCTAAGACAAAAATGTGTGAGCTGGAGGCTAATGAACTGTGAGCTAGCTCACACTAACTCAGCTTAGAGGGAACACTGGTTGTAACAGCTAAAAGCATGCCAATTTATGACTAAATAGGGCTATTCTTCAGTTTAGAAGCATAATCTAAATGTGTGCATGCTTTTTCTGTTACAGGATTTATATCTGCTTAGTGGGAACAATTGAAAGAGTAATGATCTGTGTTCTGAGGCACACTTTCCACATGTGAGGACACTATGCAGAGAGCACTTATTTGAAGACTTAAGTGCCCAGAACTTTCCAGAAGCAAGGTTTGGAAGTTACTAGGTAGAACAGTATTTCATCATGAGATGGAAAATATAAATCTAAATCTTCATTTCTTATATAATGTAGTATAGGATCATTGTCATATGTAAAATACATGATCTCAAAAGCCAGATATTATTGCTTCGTGGGGTGGGGGGCATGGTTTGGTTTTGCAGAAGAAAAACCGCCTTTAACTCAGTGTTTAATAGAGAATCTCAGATTCAGTTTTATGTATGTAGACTTTTTGCCTGTATCACATTCAGGTTTTGTTTTAAATGACACCACTTTAAGGATAATAGGTTAGATCCCACCAGCTTGTTTGCTCAGTGTCACCCAGTTTCCATACTTATGACAACCACTGTCACCCATGCTGTTGTCTGTGCAGGCCCCATGATCCCCATCAAAGTCTTTTTGGGTAGTCTGAGACAACTGGTCCCTTCCTCTTTTACAGATGGAAAAGCTGGTTGATTCCAACCCACTTAGTGTGCCTTTTTGGAAAAACACAAACAAATCCATATTTATTCACCCTGATGGATCACTCTTACAGACAAGGAAAAGACAAGCCTAACCTTCAGTATGCATTGCCCAACTTCTTGCAACATAAGGGTTTTCTTCATGCTGTTTGGTGCAGTGGTTAGGAGCAATGCTCCCTCTAAGCTGTGGAGTCTTGTGAGCAAAAAATCTACTTTGTGAGCTACTGGCATTAAAGTTGTGAGCGAGCGATTTGGCTACTGAGAGCCAGTTTGGTGTAGTGGTTAAGTGTGCGGACTCTAATCTGGGAGAACCGGGTTTGATTCCCCACTCCTCCACTTGCACCTGCTGATGTGACCTTGGGTCAGTCACAAGCTCTGGCACAGCTGTTCCTGAAAGAGCAGTTTGTGTCTCTCAGCCCCACCCACCTCACAGGGTGTCTGTTGTGGGGAGGGGAAGAGAAAGGAGTTTGTAAGCCGCTCTGAGACTCCAAGTGAAGGGCGGGGTATAAATCCAATCTCTTCTCTTCTTCTTCTTCTACTGCACA